GTAACCTGATTAGCATTCTAGCTTGTCTCTTGGGTGGGGAAGATTGGTCCCATGTAGTAACCTGATTAGCGTTTTAGCTTCTCTCCTGGGTGGGGAAGATGCAGTTAATGTTTTACCTTTCCTGTTCAGATATGGCAGAGACTCCAGCCTTTATTTGGAATGCAATGGAAAGCCACCAGAAAATTATAAGCAGAAGCTCAAAATACAAGGACCTTTATCTAAGGGCAACACAGAAAGAATGCCTTCCACTAGAGTTTGTTGTTGCTGTTAAGTGCTGTTGACTTGATTCTGACTCATAGTGACCCAGTACAGGGTTTCTGAGGAGCAGCTGGTGGGTTTGAACCGCTGACCTCTTAGTTATCAGTCCAGTGCTTATCCTTCAGCATCACAGCAGGAGTCTCCACCAGAGCTAACATCCTGAATTTGGACTTCTGGATTCCTGAACTGTGAGAAAATAAATTTCTGTTTGTAAAGGCCATACATTTGTGGTATTTCTGTTATAACACCACTAGATAAATGACACAGGCAGTGAAAAGTGACAGATTCAAATAATATTAATAATAATAAGTGGTTCGTTGATGTGGGAAATGAATGACACTTTTGGCTTCTGTAGCTGGCAAGTCAATAGTTGGATCAACAGCAACAACGAAACAAAACAAAACCTGTTGCCACAGACTCTGTTCCAACTCATGGTGACCTCATGTGTTGCAGACAAACTTTCTTTGCCTCATTTTTTGTGTGTGTGTGTGTGTGTGAATTGAGTGATAGTTTACATGGGAGAACATTGGTCTTACACTCATTGTTTCATTGCAATGATTGCAATGCCCTCTGTGCATCATCATTCAACAGTATTTGATTCTGTTCCCTCTGTTTTGTGTTTTTTGTTTTGAGGGGCGTGATGTACACAGAAACACTTAGGCATATATAATAATTTAAACAACCAAAGGGCACATTTATGTGTTACAGACAAACTTTTAGTTAGCCATTTGTACCACTCAGGAGCTCCTATTAGCATATGTGTGTTCCAGATAGGTTAATCTGAGAGAGAATGTGTGAACAAAAGAAGATGACCAAGGATGAGCCTAAGAGCAAAAGAAAGGCAATTCAGAAGAAGGAGGGGAAAATGAAGATGTTTGTGTTCTGAAAAGCAAGTGAAAACCCTTTTCAAGAAGCAGGGACTATGTAAAATGTTGTTGAATTGGATGTAATCCTAGATGTTCTTCTCTTTTTCTCCTCTTCCAGAGATATTCTGTATTGCTATTTGTAAAACTTTCATCACTTGTTAGTAAAGCAGCAATTTTTAATTAGAAACAATAAAATTACTATAATGTGATTTATCAGTGCAAGATGCAAGACACAATTAGTTTTTCCTCTGAGATAAATGTTCTTATATATAGATCCCAGAGGCTCTATCCACATAGTCACAACAAATTGAAAAGTTAAATAATTGTTCAGTTAATATAAAGGAAAAGTCTGGATAATTAAGGGAATTATGTTTCTCCCCTTAATAACAGGGAATTTTGTTAGTAATTATTCAGGCAATTGCCTCATTTTTAATGTCATATTTGAATGTGATGTTATTGAAACCTTTTACAATCATCTCCTGTCCAGATGTCAAACAGTCAGATACACTCAAAACCTTTCTTTTCAATGTATCTTGATTTGGGGATCACAGAACAAATCATGGCCTTTAGTCCATTCTCAGAATCTTTCTTTAGAGAGAACACTACCCAAGATATTTGGTCCTTTTTAAATTGCTTAGTGACCTAGACTCATTTCATGGGTCCCTTAACTCATTCAAATCCTTTTCTTCCTGAATAGACTCAGAGAAGAAATTTCATGTTACAAATTATTTCAGGACAAATCAAATTTATAACTGATGTTGAAAATTACTCAAATCTTTGGGACAATGATAAAGAACATCTACCTGAATAGCTGTGAATTTGAAAACTCATCAAATGCTCTTGTGAGAGTAACCTAAGGTTTCATATCAATAAATTCTATTGAACTAAAGCATTGTCTGGCCAACTCAGTGGCTGTGTATTTTTCTCATTGCATTCTGATAGCAGCATAATACTTCACATCTATCTCTACATGGCCCAGAATGATCAAATCTCTGGAAATATGCATGTCGTAAAAAACTCCATACAGATATTATTTGAATGCAGAAGTTATAAGCTAATTTAGTTGGATAAACTGACAGGTTATTATCATTGAATTAAAAAATATGTACACAGGTTTCAAGTTAGAACCTAAGTGGTTTTTTTGTTTTCATTAATTCATGTGCTTTTTATTTTGCTGTTTTAACAGAACGTTTACTGCTTTCCTTCCTGTGAGTTACAGTAGTGTCTAAATGCTCTCCTAGACAGACTGGAATGAAGCAACACTTCTTCTTCCTGTAGAGAGGGATTAATGGGGATTATGCC